TTTATACTCCTTTTTCTGATAAAGAAAGCCTACGCTTGGAGATGTGAACTGTACAACGGACACATTTTTTAAAGTGATATACCTATAGTTCTCCAAATAGGATGTAATTTTCTCTTCCATATATAAAGCTTAACATTTTCCAAGAATATGGAGTATTATATATATATATATATATATATATATAAAGGTTTGACTTGCTTAGGGGTAGGGATGGCAATGGGGCGGGTTTCTCATCCCCATCCACATCCCCATTTCCATTCCCGTTTAAATTTGACACTCCCAAAATCGCCCAATAACCAATTATTTTTTTACCCTTAATCCTGATAACCGCCCCGTCCCATCCCCGCTTGTCCCGCTCCCGCCCCGTTTAAGAAGGTAGGAATGAGAAGGGCTTATTTAGAAGTGTGTATATATATATATAATATGTTTAATTGTTAAGTACAATAACATGGCAGGGACTAATAGGAGTAATTCCATATATAATTGGGGCGGTTGAGGGCGGGGTACCCCTTCCCCGCCCCCGCCCCCGCCCCCGCCCCCGCCCCAATCCCAAATCCGACCGGTTTTTTTTTCCAACCCCCATTTAAATAAACGGTTCTCCAAACTCGTTTTAAATGAGGCGAGAGTGGGACAATTCCCCACCAAGTTGGGATAAATTGCCAACCCTAGTTAGGGGACATCCTCTAGAACTTTTATAAAATGCGCTTTCTTGAACCATCACTCTTATTAACAAAGCAAGCTTAGGAATGACGTTGCTTTCTTTAATTTACTGAGCCACATAAAATATACAACGAATGGCAAGTGCCTAAATTGCAAGCCTACAGCGTCGAGACAAAATATAGAAAGACGAGTAAGCAAGTGAAGAATGGCGAGAAATAGAAAATATACAACCAATGGCAAGTACTTAAATTGATGCTGCCGGCTAGCGTTGGGACCGACATGTCCCCGAGGTCCATCCAGAAGGCTGCTTCTGATGCTGGCATGGCCGTTGATGCTCAGTTGACTGTAAAGCAGCCTCAGAAGAGCACACAAGAAAGTAGTAGTTTGAATGATGGTTGTGGGAGTACTAATTGGGAGGGAATGAGTGGGTTGAGAGAAAATGAGGCTTTTAAACATTTTCGTTGACAAATATCTCTAATGTTACATTCGGGAGTATTCAATGTATTTTGAAATCGGAGAAAATTCAGTTTAAATTTTGAACTAAATTTTTTTTAATTTTAAATTTAAAAATAATTTTGATACTCCAAATATGACAGATATATCATACTGTATATAAACTGTACTTGCACCCAATAAATGATTGGTGTGGCACAATAAGATAGTTTGACGTTTACTTATTATAAAATTTTAGTGAAGAGACTTTCAATTTTAACGACTAGTGCCAATTTAAAGTTTGTGTTTTGAGATTTTTTTTTTGTGTTGACCACGTTCTTTCATTTTCTTTATGCCAATTAAATAAAGCAAAGTGTTATTGGTGTGGTAAAAAAATAATTTGTCACGTGTTTTACTTATTAAAAAAATTAAAAGAAGCCTAAACTTTTATTTTTTCTACAAAATTTAAAAGAATTTTATTTCTGTCACACTAGTGATTTGAAAAAAGTGTGTTTCTTTTGTTACAGTAAGGTGGATGCAAGTATTATTTTTGTGTGTACTTTTCTTGGTAAGAACAATGACTAAAGTCAATTCAAAATTGTGTTTTGAAGAATTTATTGTGAGAACCAATTCAAAATTTTGTTTTGAGAAAAAAAAAATTTGTGAGAGAGGTGACCACCTTTTTCATTTTATTCATGCCAACTAAATAAAGAAAAGTGTAATATATAACCAATAATCACCTTCAAACCAGTGAGGTCCTCTTCAATCATTGGTGTGATATAATAATATTTTGACACGAATTTTGCTTATTAGAAAAATTCAAAGAAGTCGCAACTTTTATTTTTCTATAAGATTTCATTAGAATATTGTTGCGTCACATCAATGATTTGAAAAGTTTGTTTTTGGACGCAAGTACTATTCCGGCATATATTTTGTTCGTAGTAAAAATAACTATTAGTACTAATTCAAATTTATGTTTTGAAGAAATTATTATGAAAACGAAATACCAATTCAAAATTTTGTTTTGAGAAATTTCTTGTTACGTGAGAGAAAGGATACTTCATTTTCATTTTCTATATGTGATCATAAAATGTCTAGTGAAAGTATTAAAAAAAAAAAAAAAGAGTAAATTACAGAACGAGTAATCACACAAATTTCGCTTAAAGCATCCAGAGTTGCTGAATGTTTTGCTTATGATTCTAGTTTGAATTCCTTGCTGTCAGCAAAGCCTGAAATCTACTTGAGTGGGGGACAAACATTGACAATAATGTGATAGTTGATAAGAAATGTTGAACCAAAGAAAATAATTAGTAAAAGAGGATTCTACTAATTCAAAATTATGTTTTGAACAAATTATTATGAAAACTAAATATCAATTCAAAATTTTGTTTTGAGATATGTCTTCTTACGTGAGAGAAAGGACACATCATTTTCATTTTCATTTTCTTTATGTGATCATAGAATGTCCCGTGGAAGTACTAAAAAAAAAGTAAATTACAAAATGAGTAATGGCACTAGTTTCACTTAAAACATTCAGAATTGTTGAATGCTTTGCTTATGATTCTAGTTTGAATTCCTTGTTGGCAGCGGCAGAGCCAGAAATCTACTTGAGTGGGGAACAAACATTGACAATAATAATTGATAAGAAATTTTAAACCAAAGAAAATAAATAGTAAAAGATGAGTCTTTTTTTAATTTTGATGCTTAAAATTTTTAAAGACAGTTTTTTTGAATCTTGAAATTTTTATTAGACAAATAAATTAGAAAATGAGGGGTCTTCTTTAATTTTGACTTTTTTAAGGCATTTTGTAAATTCTTTAAAAGTTCGATGGAGTAATTTAAGAATTATAAAAATTTGTATATAAAAAATATAAATAACTAAAAATTTAGTGGCCACGGGTCCTAATGGCGATGTGGCCACTCCATTACTTGGTGTGATAGGTTTTTATTGAAATATTCTGTAAAAAAATTTCAATAACACATGTTAAAACATAAAGCAATAATTTTAAAATTAAAAATAATAATCTTTAAAAAAGATTTCAACACAATTAAAATATATTTTAATATATTTATTCTATATTTTAACTAATTAAAAATTTAAAACAAATTAAATGAGTTGAATTACGATTTAAGCTATTAGGTGGGATTAACACCGAGTCTCATATATGCCCAATTACTTTCATCGGGGCAACTCTCTCTCCTTGTAACATTCTCGTTGCGATTGGGCCATCGAATAAAAAATTAGGTCTGATTTTGATATCAACTGTAACGTTGCGCTCGGGCCACCAGATAAAAGATTAGGTCTGATTTTGATACTAACTGTAACGGATGAATGTTTCGCGATACAACTTAAACGCTTAAACTATTAAGTGAAATTAACGCTCTACGTATATATATCTCAATTACTCTTTCATCCGGATTTTCAATTACTCTTTCATTCGAATTCGACGTAGGAACTCCCTCCGTAAAATAACAAGTTACATAAGAGGATCCGGTCGGCTGGTCAGATATATTGACCAATTATTTTTCTCATCCAAAATATCCATGTCGGTATGACATGGGACCAGGATCACCTCCAGTCCCACAGTAGCCCATTTCCTCCTTTTTGTGTTGATGAACAGTAGTTACTAAGGTGGGTAAAAATGTTTATTTGTTTTATACACAATTTTCATATATATATATATATATATATATATATGTATGTATACACTTTTCACAAATACTATTTCTTCTTCCTTCCCTTATTTTCAGCAACCCATTTCAGCAACCCAAATCCCGCCATTTTCTTCTTATCCAAAATATTGATTTTGATTTCTTTCTAAAATCTCGCCATTGCAGCAACCTAGATTTTGATTTCTTTCCAAAATATTTCAACAACCCAGATTTTGCAGTTTGCATGGAGATTTGGAATGCTTCAATCAACCCAAATCCCGCCTTGCTTAGATTTGCCAAAGATTTCAGAGAGGTTTCAGAGAAAGAAAGTAAGAGAGAGAGAGAGAGATCGTTTTTTAGTTATTTTCTTCTTCTTCTTTCAAATCTCAATAAATCTCTTTGATTTGTTTCCAAAACGAATCACAAACAAATCACACATCTATTTATCAATTCATTTGTTTCTATAAATTTCTCAGATCTATTTCACCATTAATTTGTTTCTATAAATTTTTACTTCCCTTTCTTCGAATACTAGGTCATTTTATTCCAAATTAACATAGCAATATTGGAACATCCGGACTGGCATGGTTTTTTTGTTTAATTATTTGTGTACTGCATAACATCCCAAACATTTTGTAATTTAAGTCAATATAAGTTGTACACAACATCCCAAAATAATCCTAATAGATTATTTGTACATAACATCCCAACAGTTTGTAATTTAAGTCAGTATAAATTGTACATAACATTCCAACATAATCCTACTTAACATCTCAAGCAATATGTATTTTGTATCCCAAGCAGTACTAACTATATTTCATGCTTATGTTATACATAAAATCCCAACAAAATTCTACTAAAAAGAGTGCGAACCAGTGATGTTTGTGCTCTTTAATCATATAAGAAAAAACAGATCAAAAATCAAGATTTATATGAATAAAGCTTAGATCTATGGATGATACTATGGAGTTTCTGCATAATACTCGCATAATACTCGAGTGAAATTACATGGGTTTTTGGAGTGTGTTTGGGTTTTGAAGTGAAGTTTTGAAATTCAAAAGTTACTGTGAGTTCTTGAAGAGTCCATTAATGGAAGCTGATGAAGCTTTTAGAGAAAGAAAGGAAGAAGATGACATTTTGGAAGAAGACAAGTGTATTTTAGATACAATATTTAAATGTGTTTATATATATGGAATACAATATTTAAAGTTTATATATATATAATACAAGGGTGGTGAAAATTTAGTTACCCAAGATTTTTAATTGATGTGGCCAATTCTCCTTCACTTATTTCAAAATGGTGAAAATGGCATACTGTGTGACTGGAGGTGATTTTCACCCGTATGACATGACCGTGTAGAAAACGCTTTATCGGAGAGGCACGGAGTACCTAGTCCTTGTAAACAAGTTGACGCTTACAGAATCCACTTGATTCACCAAGAATATTTGAAATCTAATTACATCATGCATGACGTTAGAGGTGGCCACGGATCGGATCGGATCGGATTAGGCATCAATTCTAATCCGATTCGCTCGCAACGGATTGGGAGATTTTGAATCCGCCACCAATCCGTTAGTCTACGGATCGGATCGGATCCAATCCGCGGACTATATCTTCTGGACTTGTCATCTGCGAAGAAAAGGGAAAAAAAAAAAATTAAGGTCTGAAATTTAAGAAAATAGAGAAAAAACAAAACAGAAATTATGAATAGCTACATCTACTGTTTTAACTCATGGATTACCATAACAATTATCTTTTGCATTACAAGAAATATGAACAAACAATCTTTTAATCCGAACAAACCAAGAGTATTAAAATTAGTTTATGAATTAACAATGGTAGCTTTGTAGTTTTTAAGATTATATTTTCAGAAAATTCAATAAAACATCTTTAATTTTTTCAGCAAATCTATAGTATATAGATAGTATGTATGCTGAAAAAAAATAAAAATAAAAACAAAAACAAAACATATATGGGTCATTTATAGCAGCAAATCCAAGGACCAAGGGACTGTTAACACCAAAAAGAGAGTTGAAGCAAAAAAAAATTCACAAGAGGATAGAAAAAAGTCCAGCCACACAAAGGCTTTTTAACATTCAGCAAGTTCATTAAAGTGACTGCAAACATTACACCAAGAAACAATACATGAAAAGACAATCAATTCAGAGATTGATAAGAAGAATTTTTTTCTAATCCAGATTTCAGATCATATCTAAAGAATAAAAGGAGTACCGTAAGGCATAAGCGTTCTCTGAGAATCCAGATCAGCCAAGACTTGCTCTGATCTGCTCTATCCTAGCCCGTTTTGATTCGGTGAAAGAGACGGCAGCAGAAGTGCAGAACTGAAAAGGAGCTCACTGAGGCAGTCGCTTTCTCTTCTTTAGCTAGGTTTAGGTTTTAATGTTTTATGAATGAGAAAAGTCGGTGGTATCAGTATGTAATATGTATAATACTTACCAAAAAAAGAAAATAAAAAATGCAAGTTATCAGGTATGTGGCACACGGATTGCCACGGATAGAATAGATTGTTGTGTGTGTGTGTGTGTATATATATATATATATATTATGGATTACCCACGGATTGCCACGGATCGGATCGGATTTTTAACAGCCTAATCCATGATCCGATCCGTGAACTACGAATTCAATTTTTTTGAATCTACCACCGATCCGTGGTTCTGGTAATCCGATCCGATCCGTACGGGTTCGCGGATTGGCGGATTTTTTGCCCACCCCTAGTTTTGATGATTCTCCTCTTTATACCTTTCACAGTTTAAGCCAATGCCAGTTTAAGCCAATGCCAAGTCTTAGAGAGCATTACTAAGGGTATGTTTGGCACGGTGGGTTTGAAGGAGGAGGATAACATTAGTTATGAGGAAAAGAGAAGGAAGAATAATTTTAACTCCTTATCATGTTTGGTTGGTTAATGAAGGAAAAAAAAGAGAAGAACAATAATCATGTTTGGAAAAAGAAAAGAAAACAAAGAAATTATTTTAATAAATTGACTATTATACCCTTTTATATATATATATATTTTTAAAATATATATATATATATATATATATATATATATATATAGTCTCCTACACCTACACAAGAAAAGAAAAAAAAAATTAGGGCAAATCATTTCAGCCTCCCCAATCTCGCCTCCATCTCTATTATATATATATATATATATATATATATAATCTCCTATACCTGATGAGCCACAAGAAAAGGAAAAAAAAAATTTAGGGCAAATCATTTCAGCCTCCCCAATCTCGCCTCCATCTCTATTCTCGTTCTCAACTTTGAACTTGCCCTCTGTCTCTCTATCTCTCTCTCTCTCTCTCTCTCTCTCTCTGCACTACAAGAATTAGAAGTTCAAAACCCAAACCCATATATTTCAATTTATCTTTCTGTCTACAAGAATCAAAAATTCAAAACCCTTATTGGTATATCATTTCAGATTGTTTAGAAAATCAAAACCCATATCTTTCAGTTTCCATCGCCGCTGTTCCAGTTCGGGTTTGCGTTCGCAGGCTTCAGCCGCTGGCCTGCCGTCTTTTATTCTCTCTGCAACTGCTAACTTGTATGTATATTGTTTTGAGGGTAAAATTGACATCACAAATATTACATCAGCCATTGCCTTCCCTTCCATTTCCTCCCATTTTTGGAAGGATAAACAAATCACTGTATAAAGTTATACATAACCCTCCAAACCCTTCCCTCTCATTTCCTTTCCTTCCACCCATTTTACCCAAACACAAATTTTTAATCACCCTCCATCACCTTCCCTTCCCTTTCCTCCCTTTTGCACTCTACCAAACTGAGCCTAACTGTTTGTGTATATATATATTTTTTTACAATTTTATGTCATAATAAATTTATAAAAAAAATTTAATTTATTTATTTTTAATTCTAACAGCTATTTTATATCTTTCGTATAAAAATATATTCTCCAACAACAACCAACTAGTGTCATTCCTAAACCCACATAATTTTTATAAAGTTATTTAATATAAGATTGATTAGTTAATGGAATGAAAAAGATGAAGAAGAAAAGAAATATATTAATGTGACTGTGTAAAAAAACTGTATAAAATATACAATAATTTTACATATTAGTAACGTAACAATTTATTTCAACAGACTGCTATAGATTAAAAAAAATTTACACATCATACGCAACAGTGTGTGCGTGTGTGTGTATATATATATATATATATATTTTTGTTCAGACTTCTTCCATCATAATTTAATATCTGCAGAAAACAAAATCAATATAATCATCGAAAAAAGAAAAAGAAAACAACCATTTGTTCTTTTATTTGGCATATAGTGAATTAAATTTAAAAACATATACAAGGATTAATTAACATGATTGGCTTTCCGAAACCAACAAGTTTGAACAAAATCACTTGCTGAGAAAATAAAATTAAAAATAAAATATTACATTTGAATGTTTTATCGCTACGTGAATATATATTACCTATTTGTTGTCAGAAATATTTCTGCGACTGCAAAACGGTGAAGCTTACTTGAAAGCATCAGTTGCAGAGTAAATGAAGTCCAAGAATCCAGTTCCCTTGAGGATACCTTTACCGGTCAAGAGTTCAAAATCCAACAATAATAGGAAGCCGATTATGGCTGCCTTCCCATTTATCAGTTCATTCTTCCCTGTGAAACCGAACCCCTCGGAATCCTCATCAACCACCATTCTCACCTGATGTGCATCATAAAAAGGACAGCGGGTTAAAATTGGAGAACTTAAAAATAAGAGCTTCTTGCAATTTGAGAGGTATTGATGTTTCATTTGACAAAATTTACAATGACTGTTACCTCATCCACATTGACATCACTTGCAGTTATACCAGGTTGAGCCTTTCCGCTAAAGACAATCTCTGCGGCAACGGTTTTCACACCCCCACTAATGCTGATGAATATATTTTCATCATCGGTTTTCACTGGATATACAAATAGATTCCTCAAAGCAGGTGTGAGGATTCTCAGCACGGGATTGTTTGGATACCAATCCTTGATGGCTCCAGTCCGGAGATCAAATGTACTATCAGTTGACGGGCAAACAATACAGCCGTCCTGAGGGAAAAGATAGCACAAACTTTTAATTTTATGATTCCAAAACCAATTTCATAAGACAGAATATTTCCACTAAGAAAGAAAAGTTGCACGCAGTTGTGTAACTTAAGATTAAAAACCAAGGTAAAATCGATAGAGGATAAAAGTTTCTCCCATTTAAATTCCCACATGTTAGTGCTGGTGCATATGAGAAATAGTGCAAGCCTTCTCTTCCACTCATAAAATTAAGTCAACATTACTTTTTAAGTAAGGAGAGTGTCCGCATTGCCACTATATAATCTCTCCTCTATTTAATGAGAGGAGGACAGTGAAATGCAACCACCAGTTCATATGTTACCAACGTGGGTGTTCTCTGTTATAGAGCCTAAAGAAGAAGAACTCATCAGATTGCTATAGACGCTTGTCTCACTGTTGATAGGCAGTAGGCCTCTCTTTGGCAGATTTATTTTCTGTTCTTTGAATGTTCTGGTTTTTTTTTTTTTTTTTTTTGATGCTATTTAGGGTATGCCCTGTTTAGTGTGTTTTCTTCTAATGCAAAGGTGATCTTGATTCCCAGGATGTGATTTTCTCTTCTATATATAAAGCTTAACATTTTCCAGCAAAAGTATACTCCGTATTATATATATATATATATAAAGGTTTGACTTGCTTAGGGGACAGCTTCTAGAGCTGTCACTTTCATAAAATGCACTTTCTTGAACCATCACTCTTATTAACAAAGCAAGCTTAGGAATGACGTTGCTTTCTTTGATTTCTTTAATTTAGCGAGCCACATAAAATTTACAACGAATGGCAAGTGCCTAAATTGCAAGCCTACAGTGTCAAGACAAAATATAGAAAGATGACTATGCAAGTGAAGAATGGCAAGAAATAGAAAGAAAACTGACACACTTTTAGGGTGTTTTAGCTGTTTTTCAGACACTAAACTGCTGTCCTTTCACCCGAACCCGAACCTGACAAGCTCAAGAGGATTTAGAATGAATAAGGGATACTGAGACAGGGGAGGCGCTGGAGGAGGCACATGACAATTGCTCCCACTTGGTGTGTCAAATCCTCTGTGGTACTCTTCATTCCTACTGCCCTAACTCAGTGATCAAGATAAAGAGAAAATGAAATTCCTTAAGTTCAAGGGAAAACTCACCCCTCTCGTCAACAGCCCAATTGTATTAAAATCCTCAGTTGCATATCAATAAAGGCAAGGCAAGAATATATATATATATATAAGAGGCAGTTTCTCATTTTTGGTTCTCACTGTAGTTTCAGGACAGAATCTCGATCATAAACTTGGATGCACTAATCCGTAGTTTTTTGTAAAACAATAAAACTATCTTGTTGTACTCAAACTAGTTGTACTCAAACTATAGTACAACAACTATTTATATCAGAAAAAGTTTTGATCTAAGCTCCTTAGGCTAGACCTGACACAGGCCACCATCTCAGAACCAGAAATACCCCCAAATGGTGGAGAGTTCATCAGCACCAGCAATCTCCTTGATATAAGCATGCTTGATTTTCATCCTCCAATTTCATTATAGTGTAATTTGATATTACTAACAATTACTGCAAACTGTTCAGGTCCCCCAATCAATGGGTATTGTGATTCAAATATTTTCGGTTGCCATGAATTATAAGCAAGAGCTCTAGCAACAAGAATCACCACTAGATCTACAATGCCATTTTCCCAAACCAATATTGCAGCCTATATAGTAGTCCATAGCTTAGCCTAAATCGTACAAACTCTACTGACTTCAAACCTATACACCACACCCCATCCAATTCCATCCTATACTTGTCATGGTGTGAGGTTTCACTAATTATGGTACACTCGGATAAATGAATGAATTTGAATTAAGGGTGGTTTTGAGTTTAAATTAAAATATTGGCTATTGAAGTTGAATTTGGAACTTGAAGGGAATGTTAGATTAGTGATATCAAATACATCTAATTACAATCCTTTGTGCACCAAGTCTTACAGGAATGAATATCAAATACCCCATTACACTTTGTTATTCTTTATTTATTTATTTTTCCTCCGAAAGTTCAAGCAAACCATGACACTCCCACAATATTGCCCCTAGCAAGGCTCGAACTTAACCTCCCCTTTTGGGAGGAGAGATTATACCATTTGGGCTAATGCCCATTGGTTAGTGGTTACACCTTATTATTCGAAATCCATACATAATAATAGACTCAAAGATTAAACAATGCATGCTCTTTAAACTTGTATCTAAATTTAAGCTATCCATTGAACCTCAATCAATTCAATTCAAATCCTTCAGGCAAAATGGAGACCTAATTTTTTTAGTAAAGCTTGAGTTTATATAAAATTGAACTCCCTCAAATAGATACAATAATATCCTCAATTCAAACATATATAAGTATAAAGTAATATATACAGAGAGAGAAAAAGATAAGAGAGAGAGTAGGGCATTTCAAACCTGGGTGAGCTTTGCATTGAGCAAGCCTTCAGTGTAAGCTCCTTCAGCAGGAGACCTATTCTCAATTGCGAAAACCTCATCTTTGTACCACAGAAGCAGTATCGTCTCCCCATCTTGAATAATCACGCGCCGCTCTCCCTTCGGAAGCGCCGACAACGGCACCACCGGAATCCAATACTTCCCGTCATCGCCGCCGCCGGAGGATGCCGACGATTCCTCAGCCACCGAGACTTCCGTCGCCTTGCACACAATTTTGTGGCGTGAGATTGCGGATGAAATTGAGAGCGAAGGCTTCCGAGCGTCGGCTACGGAATGGTGCAGCGCTCGCAATGGCGGAGACGGTGGTGGTTTCCGGCGGTGCGGTGGCGAAGGGACCGAGAGGACGCCGGAAGTGAGCTTGGTGGGTGCAGTCGCCATGAAATTTGAGAGTTGAGAGAGAAAGGGGTGTGAAGCCAGAAGTGGAAGGAAAGGCAGCAGTTTGGAGAGAGAGTGAGAAAGTAGAGAGAGAGAGAGAGAGAGAGGACATCCATGGCCACAGAAACTAGATAATGAATAAGTAACAATTAACAAGTGATACTCCTACTGACACCCAACCCAATTTATACTACTTAATGAATTGAATCACTAAAATGCATTTAACCATATGCATTAATCTTACACACATATATCACAGTGTCTGCTTAACATTTTATAATAAAAAAATAAACTATAAGTAGAGTTTAAAAAAAAAAAATAAATAAACAACCCATTAAGCAACTTTCCCATTAATTACAAATTATACTATAATAATTACATCATATACAAAAAAAACTTTCTGTTATTCTTTTTCCCCATTCACCCCTATGACCCTAGACATGGCAATGACAATCCAACCTGGTACCTGAAAAATATAATTATGGAAGGAGTGAGCTTAAAACTCAGTGACTACAACACTACTACATCAGAGTAATATAAACAAATATTATCGGATAACTTCAATTAAATTTCATTAATATATAACTTCTAGCTTTACAGACATTAAAATATAATACTCTCCTTCTAAGCCAGAGTATGGACCTTATATGATATAGTATTCTCTTTCTAAACCAGAGTATGAATCATATGTGTGTGTCTATATATATATATATATATATATATATATATATATATTACTCTTATTCTAGGCCAGAGTATGGACCTTATATAATATATATAAGTGTTTCCACATCAAATAAGCATCTTTGATACTTCAATTAACACATTCAAGTATAAACTTCCAGTAAGTACACTCACCTTGCCTAATTTTCAAATTATTTATTTGTCCTTCTGTATTGTCGTACCTTCTGTCTCCTTCTCCTTGCCTGAACATTATTATATACATGTCATATTTATTTCTAAAAAAATTTAAATAATAATCATTACTTCAATACTAAATTCTCAAATTTAATAAATAACTGTAATGAACATTCTAATCACTGACAAATACATCAGATTCTTAACTTAACAATTCTAATTAAATAATCATGGTACAATTTACACAAGACAAACTCTACTAGTATATACATATAACCAGTTAATAAATAACTGTAATGAACATTCTAATCACTGAAAATCTAGAAGTGAATTTTGGATCTCTATCACAAACAATAGAAACTGGAGTCTTATGCAAACATATGATCTCATCAACATACAAACGAGCATACTCCTTTGTAGAATAAGTAGTTTTTACTGACAGAAAATGAGCTGATTTTGTCAATTTATCAACTATTACCCAAATAGAGTCATGTCCTGTAATACCCCTAAAATTAAAAAGGATAAAATTAGAATTTAAATTTCATTCTATGTGCATTTTTGTCTATTAATTTTGTAATTGTTGTATTTTGTTTGTTTTATTTTAAATTGTATTTTAAATGCCTTATTTGGTTAATTATTTAATTGTCTTATTTTCTTTATTTGAATTATGGTTTGTTTAGTTATCTGAGTTATTGTATTGTTTGTTTTATTTTAAATTGTATTTTAAATGCCTTATTTGGTTAATTATTTAATTGTCTTTAATAAGTGCTTAAGTAGAAGTTGAATTAACAGTTTTCAGTTAAGGTTTCTTGGAGCCGTCATACAAGTATTTAACGTGTATGTGACTTAAGTTTATGGGCCGACTCTAGTTTAATTAGGGTTCTGCCTTAGCTCTAGTTTAATTAGGGTTTTCTAAAAGCCTATATATATACGTGTATGAGTTTCACAAAGGGTTTTGGAAGAACCCTATTCACGGCACAGTAAAAATAGAACGTAACAGAGAGAGAGTTGAGAGAACAGAGGCAATGGTAAGAGCTACCAAGGACAAGAACAGAGAGGGTCAAAGGAGGGTTGTGGTGGATTAGATCACACCCATAAGAGGCTTGAAGGAAGTTAGTAGTTGCCGGAAACTTAGAGACGACGCAGGGATTTCATAACTGAAATCACAGGCAAGTTCTTCTCTTTCTCCTTCTCTTTGGCTCATATTCTGTGCACCTAGATAATCTCTAGGGTTTAATCAATCAATAACTGGAAGTTATATGTTTAATATCTGTTATATGAATGATCTGTTTGTCATAAATTCAAATCTGTTTACAGTTCATGTATTAACCGCTTCCAGTTTTGTTCTTAAAAGCATATTAAGTTCTGTTGTAATGTTTGTTACTGTACTTGCTTCCATCTTCTATAAACGAACCATGGGGATATTAATGGGGTGATAGAAGACCTTAGGTTCATTATTATTGAGGAACAAAGGGATGGAATGGAGCTGTGGTTACAAAATAATTTCAGTGTTGTCCCTAAAGCATGTCTAGTTCGGTAGCAAATTTGATCTATGTAATTGATTTAAATAGTTAAAATCAAACCTTTGGGATGCTAGTGGATATTAATAAGACCCTTAGGATCAGTTTTTGAAACCAACTGAAGGGTAGAAACATGCTGGAGAAGAAGCAGAAAGTCAGAACGGAGCAGAACGGGGACAGAGGCTCTCAAAGGAGGTGAGAGCCGGCTCTATGGATGTGGGAGCTGGCTCCCATACTCATTGAGCCGGCTCTACATTCTTAGAGCCGGCTTCAGGCTCAAAAAAGAGCCTGCTCTTGGAATTTAGAGCAGGCTCTTTCAAATAGTAGTTTTCTGAATTTTTTTTCTACGAACTGTTTGGATACTGTTGGAGCATGGGAACGTTTCTGTTGACTCTAGGGTTTTACAGAGGGATTAGAGGGTTGGCTTTGAGAGTTATTAAGTCCTTAAATTGAGTAAGGTTGACCTCTAAGTGAATGAAATTAACAGTGTGCTAATTTAACAATTGTGCGTACGGGTAACGGCTGGAAGGAAATTTATTGTCTAATTTTAATTTGACAATTTAAGGGGCTATAATATAGTTCTAAATTAAAGTTTAAATGTGTGATGGAGTATTTTGAATAAAAATTTGACTTGTAGCTGATTGGGGCTCTGTGCTAACAGATTAAACAGAATATCAGTATACAACTTAGCACGCGGTTACCTGATGGAGAAAATTAAGTTGCTCAAATTAATTTAGCAATTTATGGGACTATAATGTGATTTAAAACTTATTTTTAATGCATGATAGAGTCATTGGTATATTAGATGTGATCTACGCATGCTATGGATGCTAGTTGTTGAGCCTTTAAACCGTTTCCTGCAAATACATGGTTTAACTCTTGGATTTAAATTGCTGAAACTATAAATAGTCTTCTGTAATTATTTGGGATGGTTTGGATTGTAAATTGCTATACTGTTATTTATAGGTTGTAATTTACATGGTTTGGATGTTAATTGTGGGATCTAGATATTATCATACAAGTAATTGAATTTAAATTGCTGAATAAATATATTCTGTCAATTACATGGATATGGAGGATTGTATGCACCGGTATGGGACGGTGACATACTAGGGGACGGTTTAACTCAAAACGCCTAAACCTAACCTAATGGATTAAAGGAATGGATTTAAAAATTTTAAATCCTAATTGTGTTAAGTCAAATCAACTACAACTAAGTTGAGTGGCTTCCTGGATTAATGGATGATAGTTAAGTCATATCAACTGAATAAGTTGATAGACTAACTAGCTTATTTATTGTATGTTAGTTCAATAAATATTTGAACTACATACCCTGGTTTTGGACGGACTTTATATATATGTTTATGGTACCACGAGATGAGCTTGAGCTTCAGACTCGTTGGTTAGGGTGCGTATATGCAGTGGATACGTAACTGGCTATAGTAAGTTGAGGTGTACCCTGTTAGGTCTAGGTACTCATGCCCACCTTTGGGTGCGTTTTCGCATGTTGCCTTCTATTCAGGTTGAGACCCCTACTGTAGTCCAGTGAATGTCCCTTAGTGTGGATATATATATATGTATGGACGAGATAGCTATTGTTGAGATATCTAGGGTGTATCTGCGTATCAAGTCACTGTTTGGATTGTAGTTAGAGAAGAATTTGCATGTGGGCTTGACCCACTCTTATTTTTACAGGTGTTTGTTAGTTCCAGACTTGGAGCTGGATCGTGCTGAGCAGATACAGTTATTCACTCCACCGATGACCAGGGTTTTATTTCATATTTTAGACTTGGGTTTCATTTCCAATCTTTTAAGTTCAGTGAGATATTTTAGGGGTCCACTAGATGGATTCCCGAGTTGTAATAGAAATGGAGAAGTAGGATGTATCAGAATCATTTTTTGTTAATTAAATTTTATTCTGAGGTTTTTGGATTATTATTCTAGTTTCTTTTCAGCAATTTATTTATTCTTGTTTTTCTTATTTGTATTCTGTGTTCGATTATTGCTAATTGATTTGATATCCTCGGGTTATCGGCCGTGGGCCTGGCCAACCCGCATCCGGAAATTTGGGGGTATCACATGTCCCCTTTTTGATCTTGAAAGTTCCGTCACAAAATCTATTGTTACATGCTCCCACTTCTACTGTGGAACTGGCAACAGCTGTAACAACCCCGTTGGTTTCTGATGTTCAGCTTTCACTCGTTGACATACCAAACACTTTGTTATACATTTTGCAATTTCACGCTTCATATTGTTCCACCAGTAGTATTCATTCAAATCCCTGTACATTTTAGTACTCCCTAGATACATAACATATATAGAACTGTGGGCTTCGTCTAAAATATCTTTCTTCAAAGAAACATCATTCGATACACAAATTCGATTCTTAAAATACAAAGTCCCATTATCCAGCTTTGTAAATTTAGTTTGCATATCTTCTTGAGCTTCGTTTATTTTCTTATCTAAGGAAATGCCATGAATTTGCAACTCCTCAATTCGATCAAGCAACAGAAGTCTCATCGTAACATATGCAAACAATGCTCCTTTATTAGTAATTGTCAATTCAACTCCATAATATTTGCTACCCGTGCACACTGTACACAAGATAGTCTCTCTGAAGACTTCTTACTCAAAGCATTTGCTACTATATTGACTTTTCCAGGATGATGATGAATATTACAATCATAATCTTTTATTAACTCCATCCAACACCTCTGTC